AGGGAGTGTGAGAGGGGGACGGAGGGAGAGTGAGGGAGTGTGAGAGGAGGACGGAGGGAGAGTGTGGGATTGTGAGGGGGGATGGAGGGAGAGTGAGGGAGTGTGAGAGGGGGACAGAGGGGGAGTGAGGGATTGTGAGAGAGGGACGGAGGGAGAGTGTGGGATTGTGAGAGGGGGACGGAGGGAGCGTGAGGGAGTGTGAGAGGGGGACGGAGGGAGAGTGTGGGATTGTGAGAGGGGGACGGAAGGAGAGTGAGGTAGTGTGAGAGGAGGATGGAGGGAGTGTGAGAGAGGGATGGAGGGAGCTTGTTTCTGAACAATCCCTCGCTGCCCTAACTGCGTGCTCACGGCTCTGCTGTCTCTCTCCCTCTCTCTGTGTCACCAGCATGGGGCCAACGTGAACCTACAGACATATTCGGGGAACACAGCTCTGCATTGCTGTAGCGGACGGGGCTTCCTGGAGATTGTGAAGGTGCTGTTGAAGAACGGAGCCGATAGCAGCATTAAAAACTGTCACAATGATACCTCTCTAATGGTGGCCAAGAACAAAAAGGTGAGGGCCTGTGGCTGGAGGGTGGGAATGTTTTGTCCCTCTTTCTCTCTCTGTCCCAGGGGCTGCATACCAGATCGGAGCACAACAGAGAGGAACAGCAGGAGAGAGGGAGAGGAAGGGAGTGTGAGATGTGGAGGCAGGAAAGAGGGAGAAAGGAGGAGAGGGGGAGAGAGAGTGTGCCATGAGGAGGGAGTGTGAGAGAGGGAGCGAGGGAGTGAGAGAGAGTCATGGAGTGTGAGAGAGTCATGGAGTGTGAGAGAGCGAGGGAGTGTGAGAGAGCGATGGAGTGTGAGAGAGCGATGGAGTGTGAGAGAGTGATGGAGTGTGAGAGAGTGATGGAGTGTGAGAGAGCGAGGGAGTGTAAGAGAGTGTGAGAGAGCGAGGGAGTGTGAGAGAGCGAGGGAGTGTGAGAGAGTGTGAGAGAGCGAGGGAGTGTGAGAGAGCGCGATGGAGTGATGGAATGGGCTGACTCACACCCTCCTGCTCCAACAGCTAATGGTT